CAGTAAAACCAATTAACAAACATAACCACAGCATATAGAACTGAGGTCCACCAAAACAGGGTCCGTGTGAGGCAGTATTTTCACAGACAGGCCTCAAGATTTAGTAAAATAAAAACACACTTTCATGCAATATCAAGAATATGTAAAGTTAAGAATATGTTTTTAAATATTTTAATGTTAAATCAGTGGGAACCTTGAGCCTGTTTCTTGGTAACAAGACCATTTATTGTGAAGTCAATGGCTGAAGTACATTCCAACCAAACCAGAATTGTTTTTGGTTTGGTTGTGTTCACCAAATAACCTGAAATGAAGGACAAAATTAATCTTCAGCAGCAAAAGGTACAAAAAGTACAGTTGATAATTAAAGCTATTACTCTATATGTTTTCATCATATTTCTCTGTGCTGTTCTCCTCTGTTGGTTCTATCCTTTGTCTGATTTGTTTACTCCACTGCTAGGCAAACTGACCTTGGCTACCTTCAAGTACTGTATTATTACCATTATTACTGTTATTATTACATGTGCCTCTAACCATCACGTTGCAGCAGTAACAGCATAGACTTGTTCTCCCGCTCCGCCTCAGTCTACAGCATGACTGCTGGCCCAGACGGCCTTCCTTGGAAAATCTTGGCCTATTTCTGTTTGTCTTGACGCAGGTTTTTTCCAGGCTAAGGTGGTTATTTTGGTCAGATAAATACAAAGTTGTTCAGGAGCAGGGGGGGGGGTGAAGAACAAGACACAGATGAGATCACCTCTGAAGACTAGGGCTGCAAAACAACAGGCAGCAAGACGAGACAAGAACTGCCGTGAACAGAGGCAGGAAAATAAAGACCTGGGAAATTATTGCCATGCAGTCCTGGATTTATGTTGGCCCAAGGCGAGGAATCTGAAGAGAACCTGTCCATGAGAGCCTGAGCTGACACTGCATCATTTTTGTGATTAGAAGACCTGTTTTTTTTTCATGTAGGAAGGTAGTTTGTAGTTGCTGTGAGTATTTTTAGGAATCCACAGGGCAGAGCAGACATCCCTGTGTTTTCTTATGCAATTAGTGGTGTTTATGCTGAGAGGTCATCGGAAAAACCAGCCTCAGTGTAGTTTCTGTCTTATTTGCAAAGAAGGAACATCTGTCTGTCTGTACATCTGCGTGTTAACAATGGGGGGAAACTTGTGTCTGTGTTATCATCTGATACACAAGTGTGTCTGTGTGTGTTTGAGATTGTGTGTGTGTTAGAGAGAGTTTTACAGCTTTGTGGTTGTCTGCGGTTTCAGCCAGGTGTGCTTGCAGTCAGACAGCGGTGCAATTCCAGTGCCAGGTACAACACCTGCAGTGTGTGTGTGAGACAGCAGGCGAGTGTAAAAGTGTGTGTCAGTGTATTAAGCTTGTGAAAACAAGCTAATCACTGCAGTTAAGTGCACAAAGCTATAACATATTTGAACCACTAACCCATGAGGTAAACGTTAGCCAC